GGTTGTCCACACACCCTTTTTTTTCACTAGGATTAACATTCATTGCATTTAGAGAGGAAGAGAAAAAGATTTCCATATGCAAATAAAAAAATCAGTATCAAAGTGGAACATTTCTCTTACTCTGCAATCCATCCAGCCCAAGCCAAAGATGCTGGCTTGGATGATGAACTTCAACAGTGACTGCCTCTGACATTCCCTGTGCTCTTAGCATGGGCGCAGGATGGAAGGATGACAGTGTAAAAATGTGATTAGAGTCATTGTTGAAGAGGAGGAGGTTGGTGAAGACATATTAGTCCCTTGAAAAATGAAAGTGACTTTAGGAGTCTTTTACAAAGGATTAAAATGAAAAATATGTACTTGAATGACACGTGAAAAATTTAATCAGATCACTTCAGGTAGTCCTCTGTCTCCTGGAAACACACTTAGGACAAATGCTTCTCCCTCTCCACTCATAAAGTACTGCCCTGCACCAGTGACTTGGTAACTTTCATTCCAAGAAGAGGTTATAATACAGGAGCATCAATTATATTTGAAATATGAATCTTGGTCTAACCTATGACTGTCTGGTTCTAGAATGCAAATTCCTAACCCTTAAAATTCTGTCTTTTCTGTGTACTTTATTCATCTCTTTTTTCAATACTATTTTTTCAATTAGAAAAGTAATACAAGTTCATTATAGACATTTGGGAAAATTTAGGGAATCACAGAAAAGAAAACAAAAATCATCTACAATGACATCCCTCAGACACACAGTTAATTTTTGGCTGTAGAACTTGCAGGGTTTTTCCCCCGTCAGAAAACACATCTCTAAGATGGCAGATGGGAGCCCCTAAACCAGAAGTATCCCTACAAAAACAACGGATCGTTTGTGTCCTCATCATCTACACATTTGCCATACTTCTTCAATTCATTGGCAGCACTAACCACTTGGGCTCATCTAACAGACACACATAGCCCTTGACTGCCTACCCATTCCTCTGGGATCCTGGTCTTCTCCACAGCTCAGGGGCAAACCTAACTCATCTAACACTTTCACTGCAAGCTCATTCTCCATCTCAGTGATCAGTTTGTGGGAGACCAGGGAAACTTAAGAAGACTATGGAGCTTTGGGATCAAGTCTTTGCTTCTAAGAGCAACACACAAGAAAAGTGGTCTTTTATTATACTGTGTGAATTGATGCCTGGAATTGTGAAGCCATTTTGGGAGCTTGAGAGAAGCTAACTGGAGAACAAAGCCTGACTGATTGTGATAGAATATTCCAGGTGACCTCTAGCAAGACATAAGAAGCCACTGGGCACAAAACAGATTTGCAGAAGAACCTATGTAGTACAATTTCATGTATTTACCTAGATAGATATAAGTACACAGAGAAGGGTTGAGAGCAGGCCAAAATGTTGGCAGTAGTGACCTGTGGATAATACGGGAATCAGGGCTTCATCTTTTTATTCTACATATAGTTGTACTGTTTGATGTTTTTGCAATGGTATGTGTATATGGCTTGTATACTCTTTTAAACATTTCAATTTTATAGACTATACGTGGCTTCTCCTTTATTTGAAACATGTACTAGAACCTCATTCTTTAAAAAAAGATCTCATGGTCAAAAAATCCTTCAACTTATTTTCAGTTTCTAGGGGGATCCACTCCATCTTACAGCTCAGCACACCTGCTCTTTGTCAGTACACCTTCCTTTCCCACACGAAGAGACGCAGGGAGACCCCTGGCTTTGGGTCAGTTTGCATGGGGTCAGGATATGGATTGTGAAGTGGAGCAAAGTGATTAAGCTCTTCTGTGAAGTCATCACAACGGATATTGATGGACATTGCCAGAGTGCTGGCCAGCCTTGTGGGGTTCCAGTGATTAGTAAGGCATAGGATGTATCTCCAGGCAATGAAGCACAGGGTCTGTGCAGTGTGTCTCAAAGTGCAGGCCAGAGGCCCCACATCAGAATCACCTGCTAGCACGTTAAAATGCAGGTCCCAGAGCCTTACCCCAGATCTGAACCACAATCCCAAGAACATGAATTTTTTTATATGCACATGAAATATGAAAATGACTTTCTCAGTGGGTGAACTGGTCTCATCAAAATAGTCTGATGGGATGGGTGCAGGTTCTTTCTCATCCTGGTTACCTGTATGCTCAGAGCCAAATTAGTGGCTCAGCTGTAGCCATGTGGTTGCGTGGTAAGAAGACTATTAAGAGATCTCATGTTAATTGTCTTCTTTCACTCCACTTGTCATCTTCAGTGTTCCCTAGTGAACTAAAGCTCTCTGAACAGGCAGGGCAAATAAGTAAATGAATAAAATCAGACAGTTATTAAGCACTTAGCCGGGATGCTAAGTGCATTACATCATGTCTCACTTAATCTCCACAACAAACCTATGACCAGATACTATTATTTATCCCATTTTACAGATTTGGGAGCTGAGGCTTAGAGAAGTCAAAGAACTTACGGAGCAGTGCTTGAATCCAGGTCACTAACTGCAGATTCCACACTCTTAAACACCTACTGTGTCCATGGTGTAGGTGAACAGTGGTAGCCCCACACTTTTCTATAAGACTGGCCTGCAGCTGCAATCTAAGTGAAAAGTGGGGCCAGGGGATTGATTACCTTGAAGCTTCTTTTGCATAATTAGCATACTATTTTTACTTAGATTTTATGTTCCAAATCAATTTTTTTGATTTTGAAGATGCTTTTATGAGCACATTCATAAAATGTTTTTTGTCTTATCTTATTTTATGGATATGTATGTATTTACCCAGGGTGGGGGGGGTTGCTGTTACAGAAGGGCTCATCTACAGTGGTACTATAGTGGTACTATAAGTTTAATGTAAATGAATTAAACTATCCCATGTCAATTTCATAATTAGTTTTCTGCTTAGTAATCTATGATGATTTGGGGAAAAACAAAGAGTTTTATAGAAATAACTCCTCCCTAATTTGATACATATTTTAGCAAGTGTAAATATCATATAGAACTGACCCTCCCAACAACATGGGTTTGAATTGTGCGAATCCACTTATATACAGACCTATTTTCAATAAATACAGTCAGCCCTGGGAATCTGCTCTTTTCAATCCAAAACAATATTTTGCATCAATGGTTGGGAAGCCTCATATGTGCAGGGAAGATTATATATCAAAGTTTGACACCATTTTATATTAGGGACTGAAGCATCCATGAATTGTGGTATTCATAGGGATTCTGGAACCAATCCCCAGAAAATACAGAAAACCAACTGTAGTTAAGTTTAGGGGAAGTCAAAAGTTACAGGACTGGGGGAGAAGGCATCAGTGCCACTAACCCGGTGTTTTTCAAAGGTCAACTGTAAAAAGGGAACAGTGGGAAGAACCCTTCCCCATCACTCAGGCATGAGCATTTTAAAAAGTGCATGTGCACTGACACACACACAAATGGTATCATACAACCAGTAAACAATGCAATCTACTTTGTTCACGTAATCATGTGTCTTGGATACAGGTTGTTTTGCTTTCTTGTGCAACCGTTTTACTTGAAGCCTAGGTGGCAAAATTTTGGGAAGCCAAGAGGACAGAGGAGATGGGAGAAGGTACTCGGAGCTGGAGGTAACGTCTGGGCTCAAGCCAGGGCACAGGGTCTGATCACCAGTGGGACTGCCAGCTAAGCGCCCCTCACTCCCATGCTCAGGACAAAGGGAGGGAGGAAGTGTGAGACTGGGAAGCTGGGCCGCTCTCGCCTAGGTTTCCCATTCTCACCACCCCCCACCTCGCACCCCCTCCTTGCACCCCCGCACCGAGACCGAACAGAAAGTTATCACGGGAATCTGCGCCCCACCTGAAACTCGCCCAGGCCCCAGGAACTTCCCCCTAGGCATGGACTGGGGTCCTGGCGCTGGGATGGAGAAGTTGCCTCATCCGGGTGAGTTCCCAGAGCTGGCCATTTGGACACTGCCTTGCAGCGGCGCCCTCTGTCGGCGGCTCTGGGTACGGCCCGTTTCTGTCGGCCTGCTCTTGGTGTCACTGATGGTTTAAAGACAATCTTCCACCCTTCTTGGTGATGTTAAATTCCGCTAGGAATTTCTATATAATTCAGCTAATATTGTGCATATGCATAGAGCTCCTGGAGCCACAGATCTTTGTGCAAATGAGTGTGAGGGTATACTCTAGGTGCCTATGGGGGTATGTCGAGGGTGGCAGGCATGAGTTGGCTCTATGTCTGCCTGTGGGTATTTCACTTTCTGCTCCTATTTGTCTGTATGAGCAAGTACCTATGAGTGTAGGCCGTGTCTCTTTACACATTTCAGTCTTATTAGTAATACACACATTTTTATCATCTCCCCAGGTCTGTGTCTATGTGAATGTGCTGGGGTGAATGTACGCATGCACGCACACGTGTGTGTGTGTGTGTGTGTGTGGTGTATGGAGCCACAACGTGTGGTAATTGTATATCCCTGAAATCCAGATGTTAAAGGAAAAATGTATGGTAGGATGCTCCAGATATACTAAGCTCTTTGCCCCTCATCTCATCCTCTTACTTCAAAAATACCACAGACTTTGCTTTGGGGCCCTCTAGCATAAAATTGCTCCATCTTGACCTGAACTCAGCCTCCTGTGTGACCTCATCCTTCTTCATGCCCAATCCTCTGCCTTCCTTCTTCTCTAAGCTGGGGAGCCCAGGGAAGTTGCCTACTGCTTGCTGTCTCTAGGCACCTTGGCTATGATGCCAAGCCAGAGAAGACAGCATCCTATCTCCTTCATTTTCCCCCACCCAAAAGTCATTTCCTCTTAGTTCATTACCTGGGATTTTGATGTTGTGTTCCTTCAGCATTATTAATACACACAGGGAAAAAAAAGGAACTTGTTGAAATTCCCCCAGAAGGTTTTGAGAGTTGTTTTCAGTGTTGCAACTTAGAACAAGTCAGTTTCTAGTTTAAGTTTCCATCAGAAAGCTTGGTAAGAGCAGAGTATATAAGCTCCAGTAGCAGCAGCAACAGAAGAGAAGAAACAAGGGTTTCAGATCCAGTGAACTCTGTGTCTCGGCCAGAAGCAAGGTAAGCACTTCCCTGGCCCCTGCCAGCCCCTCCACAGGACTGTACCATGACTGCTACCCCTCTGTCTGGCATTGTGGATGGGTGGATTCCTGGAAGCATTCCTGGTGAATTACCTGCCAGGACACTTTGGGGACTCATGTATAATGTATCAATTTAGAAAGTCAACTAATAGTAATTGTCTACCAAGGTTTGTGCACTAATGCACATTTTATAGAAAGGTTTGTTTTTTATCTTGTTAAAAAGTGGTATGTATATAAATGTGTTCCTCAATACCAATGCCCATCAGTCAATGTACTGTACAAAGTTAGAGTGTTGCTTGCCTTAGTATGGTAAACTTTTTTAAAGCCTTTCATTCATTAAATAATAATGAATCAATAATTGAATAATTATTTATTCAACAAATAACTGAATTCATACTTTTACCTCATAATTTATGTTACATAGCATACATGCTCCCATATTTGGGATGGGCTTATTAATCAGATTGATATCTGAGGTATCAGTTCAAGTGGATTAACTAACTTGAGCCCACTTAAAAAATGAAAAGCAACTGCTATTATTTAAATCTACTTTTTGAAGAACTTTAAAATCTGTGAGAAGAAAAAATGGTAATCTTTTCTGTGCTGGTGGTATCTTATACTTGCTCAAGTATATTGTGTGCAACAATTTCAGGTTAAAAATAATAATGATCTGAAAAAAATTTTAAATAATAATGATTAGGTTAAAATATCATTTCTAACAAAGAAATTACCAAACCCCAGGTGACTGCCCACTTTTTTCAAATATGGAATTTCAAGATGTTAGAAAGTGGCCTTTTAGATTTATTTTACTGGGACCTGAAATTTTATGATTTCTGTACATTTGTTGCTTTTTCTAATAATTCATGAAATCCCTATATGCTAAAGTCTGGGATACAGTATGAAAAAAGACAGACATGATCTCTAACATCAAAAAGCTCAGTGTGGCAGGGAAGTAACTATACATTAAATAAGTAACTATGTAATTGTAGAAAGTGCCATGAAATGAGGGGTGGGGCTCTGCGACAGCAAATGGCACCATCTGGACACTCTACATGAATTACTTCATTCACTCCTCACCACACAAAACACCCATTTCACAGACTCAGAGTTTGAGGATTCACAAGTGGCCTACCCAGAGTCACATAACTAATGAGTGGCAGAGCTAGATGCCGCTGCAGGGCCTGCCTGGCTCTAGAACCAGGGCCCTTTGAAAGTGCTATGCCTTGTGTGACTATGTCTTTTTGTTTTTCAATAATAATTCTCTCTTCTAATTAAAAAGTAATAAAGTAAAAATTGAGAAAGAGATGCCCAAGTGTTACTGTCATACCCATGTTTGGTACTGGCACAAGGGAGCCTTAACATATCAAAGGCCCTAGATTCCCTGCATCCTTCATACAAGGTTTCAAGAGTTTAGAAAACCTATGAAATGGCATGAAAAGAAAATTAACCCTCAAGCCTCCCGAACTTGGGATGCTGTGGGAGGCAGCCCCCTGCTATCAGCTGGTCCAGGGAACCACGGGGTAACTACAGGTTGGCCCCCTTTCTGTTTCCCCTGGGTCCCACCCCCTGCCAGTGATCTGCGGTTTAAAATGTAGGTGATAACCAAAATGAAAGCTGTTTCTTAGAACGGGCATCAGATCTCCCTCGATCCTAAAGTGCCATTTACCTGAATTCTCAAATGTATCTGAGGTACAGAAAGGAAGTGCTGGGCACATAATAGAAAGGAAAACCCCAGCTTCAAGAGAACATTCAAGGAGATGCCAGGAATCTCTGTCGTTTCCCTCCCCAGAGTGCTGAAATCTGGGTTTTACAGGCCTGTGTGATTGCAATACATCTATGACATTTCCCTATAGCCAGGCACAACTTTTTGTCTCTGCATTATGTATGAAACAAAGAGATGCCAACTTCCTTTTCTCTTCCTTTTCCCTAACCTCTTATTGGTTATCTTCCATAACATATCATCTCACTGCAGTTTCCCTTTGAGATGGGTATTGTGTCCATTTTATATATGAGGAGACTGAGGTGCAGAGAGTAATTTGACCAGCATCACGCAACTAGTGAGTGGTGGGACCAGAACTGAAGCCCATAGCCGCTTGACTCCAAGCCTATGAATGTACTAACTGATGCTCTGTAGCAACTCAAGCTTTGCTACAGTCACAGCTTGAACTAAACAGGCAGACGTGCCCCTGAAAGCTCCCTGCTGCAGTGACAAAAGCACTGACAGTGCATGGGAAGGCCTGCTTCTAGCCCTGTCTCAGCCTCTGCGATCAATGGGAACAGAGTGCATGGCAAGGTTTCCCTAGGATCAGGGGCAGTCCTGACACAGCCATGACTTGTCAATATTCAGTCACATCAAACAAGAGATGCTCATTTTTAAGGTATTGGCTGAAAATTTTGAGTCTTGTTCTTCATATGATTTAGACAGTGGTTTCTGAAACTATGTTGCTGCAGACCATGGGTGATCTCCAAGACAGATGGATGTGTTTCAGCCTGAAACTAAATAATATTCATCTCTATCTAATTCACAGGGCGTGGAGGGGTAATTTTCAGAGTCTAAAGATTTTCATAAATCCTGGGTACTAATCTAGATTGAGTTTCAATATAAGACAGTGCCTGATTTACTAGAAAATTACGTATTTCATTCATTCATGGTGGACATGTCACACTATGTTATGGTCTTCTCCCATGGAACATCTTGATTTTCAGAGGCCCCAGGAACCTGAACATGGGTTAAATAGTGGTTCAAAAGGTGGTCCCTGGACCAGCAACATCAGCTTTGCCTGGAAACCTTTTAGGAATGCGGAGTCTCAGGTCCCAACCCCAGAGCTGGTGAATAAGACTCTGGGGTGTGGGACTCAGCAATCAGTGTTTTAAAAAGTCTTCCCAGTTATGCTGACTTATGCTCAAATTTGAGAACCACTTGGTTACATTATGTGGGAGGGAGTAATCTTTCAGTTTGGAGCAATTATAGTCTAAACAAGGAGAGAAACTAAATCCCGACAAGGATTGGTGACCAGGTCATTGGCAGACTTTGAAAGATTGCCTCTATATTGCCTCTCCTCCCCGGCCGAAGTCCTTTAGCCCTGGTGTCACCGCACACACTGCCTTGTGCTACAGTTCAGTAGCTTATCTCTCCAACCAGAGGGCAGGCATTTAACACCCTGACTTAATAAATATTTGTTGAATGAAAGCATTTGCTCCTAAAAGGCACGATCCAGGTAAACACTTTTTTTACTTCCAAATGCTCTAGCTCAGTGCCCTTTACATAGTAAGTATCAAGTAAATAACTGCTGAATGTTGATCCAGACAAGTTCTTTCTCTGATCCTTAGGTTTCTTATCTTACAAATAAGAGGATTATATCAGAAGGCTGGCTTTAGATCTCTTTCAGCCTCACCTAGTCTATTCTCTGTTTGGAGATGTGCTTGCCCAGAGACTGGCATAAGGGTTCCTATAATTCACTTAGTATTAACCTGACGGTGTAGAGAAGGAAGTAGAAAATGAAGATTAAAGGCAATGTGCACAGAATGTGAATATGGTTTCTAATGGTAACTGAATAGTGATTGACAGTCTCTTTCCTCTTCTTCTCTTTTCCTCTTTCTCTTCCTCTCTTCCTCTCCCTCCTACAGATGCATCAGCAGCAGTTGGTCCTCTCCTGCTTGTCCCTGGTTTTCCTGGCATCTCCTCTCCTGGCCATATGGGAACTGGAGAAAGATGGTAACTAGACTCCCTATTCTCCAAGGAGGCCAGATCTAGGCCAGAACTCTCAGGCAGCCCCTGGGGGGGAAGGGAATCAGACTGAAATGGGCACCTGTGCTTTGGGGCTTCCTATCCAAAGTGATGACTCTAGGAAAACACGGGCCATGTGTCCTTCTTTCACTGGTGAAGGTGTTTGGCTTTCATATTAGATGGCAGAGAAGGAGCTTTCTGTGGACTGTGGTGGGAAAAGAGACAGACAGGGGCTTTGCCAGTGTTACTAAAACCAAATGTGTAATACAATTAAAATTCCAAAGTGAAGGATTTGAAAAGTTTAGCGATAGTGACTGTGCTCTATCATTTCCCACTCCACCACATGACACCGCCTCCTCGGTTGGCACCTAGACGACATACCTCTGACCATGCACTCCGGGGAAAGTATAGCATTTAGGCTCACAGTAACTTGGGTTCGCAGGCTGGTTCTGGCATATATTATGTGACTTTGAGGAGGGTCACCTCTGAGCCTGAGTTTCCTCAACTATAAACCAGGGGTTACAAAGTGATACATTCTCCGTAGACTGTTAATGTATTAACTGATTGTTAATTGTTTCTGAGAGATCCTCAGATGTTTCTTATTGAAGCCAACATAATAAGTTGACAATACTGTCTTTAATTGTATAATAATAATACTTAATATTTATTTGTACATACTATCTCATTTAATTCTCACAACAACCACATGAAATAGGGACTGTTTTTACCCCATTTTATAGATGTTGAAAATACAGGCTACAGAGATTAGGCAATTTACCCAATTTCACACAGGATGGTAAGGATGGAATGGGGACTTGATCTCAATTATGTCTTTCTTCAAAGCCTGTGCCCTTGTGCTTGAAGAAAATTTTAAAAGAAGGATATTAGTCATTGTTTCCTATATCCTCAGAGAACTGAGAAAAAAATAAGCATAAATTAAAATGAAGACTCTTCTACTGGTGAGCATAAATAACTGCTTGATAGGAGAGTACAAAAAGAAACTTTGAACTATTCCTCTATTCTTAATAATTTCAGGAAATCAAAATCCAGCCTTCCTCCCCTCTGCCCCAGGAGGGTTGCCTCCCTGAGGAAGAGCAAAGGTCTGAGCCAGATGGTTACACCAAATCCCTTCCAACCATGGGAGTTTTAGTGAGCTCGGAAACCTTGCCTCTTGCAGAGTTAACCCTTGGTTACTTCTAATTTGGTAAACCACAGAAATTTCTGAAAGTCAGTGTGAGAAGCCCTAGGAGGGCTTGTGACTATGGAGACCAGATGAGATGAAGCCAAGCACTACGTTCCAGAGGCTCCTCACCGGGCTCCCCGTTAAAGCTGTTTTCACCTACTCTTGAGCAAAGGTGCCCCAGAGCTTCTGAGTCTTAGTTATGACAGAAAATAGCCATGATGCTCAGTCATCAGTGGAATAGAGAAAAGCTAGAGAAAGTAGAAAGTGCCACGTGAGTTCATGCCACATAGCCAAAGAGCTGGGCCACAGACGCTTTTTACCTCCTGTCTTTGTTATTCATTCAAGAGTTGTAAATCCTAGCCCTGGCTGATGTAGCTCAGTGGATTGAGCGCGGGCCTGCGAACCAGACAATCGTGGTTCGATTCCCAGTCAGGGCACATACCGGGGTTGCAGGCCGGTTTCCTGAAGGCCAGTTCCCAGCAGGGGATGCATGAAAGGCAACCATACATTGATGTTTCTCTCCCTCTCTTCTTCCCTTCCCCTCTAAAGATAAAAAAAAAAAAAAGAGTTGTAAATCCCTTTGATGTAAAATGAGAACTTTATATTCCACAATGCTTTACATTTGAACACTAATAACAAGAGCCACCAGTTAAAGAGCATTTAAGGGCACTATGTTAAGCTCTTATAGGATAGGCTTGTATAATCCACATCTTAACCTTCTGAAGCAAGTACTAATATTTTGCTAATTTTAAAGACAATGATGCCAAAGCTTAGAATAACTGAAGGCCTTGTCCAAAGCCACAGAGCAGAATAAGAGACAGAGCTGACTCTAAACCCAGACATATGTGACTCCAGGCTCTTAATCCCAGGGACCCTCACGGCAGACATCAAAACCATCTGGAGAGCATGAAAAAACAGATCACTGGGCCCATCCCATAGTTCTCGGTTCCGCGACTGAGAATCTGCATTTCTAAGAGATTCCTGGGTGATGCTGCTTATGGTGGTCTGATGATCATGGTTCGAGAAGTGCCACATTGATTCTATTTAATTAATAACCAATGCATGAGTGGGGCTTTGATGTGAAACCCTCTTTGAAATACTATGTACTAAGCCATTCTTTGAGTGCCAGTTTAGATGCTGGCACTAGATACCCAATGCAAAGCCAAGGAGACAAGACAGTCTGAGATACAGCTCTCGTGCTTCTAACGTGTTGTAACCTTGCTTAGCCTCATGGTCTCAGTACTCACCTCTGTAAAATGGGAAGACTAAGACCTACTGCCTCATAAGAGTGTGAAATAGCTTTTACAAAACTACAGAGACAATAAAATTTCCATTGGTGAGTTTCACGTAGTAGAAAGGAAATACTAAAATCCCCATAGGAAGTGGTAAGACAGTTTCTCTGTGTAGGGGCCTGACCCTTTGGTCTATGAATAACAGTAACAACTAACACTGAGTTTACTGAAGCAGGCACTGTGCTAAATGTTCTATATACTTTTTTTTTTTCCATTTAATCCTCACTGTCAAACCTATGATGTAGTCCTCCAGCCAGCTAGTGGAGATAGGATCTCATTTCTGGTCAGTCTTTCTTGACATTCTGTGCCCTGTCTTATTTCCTATGAGACTGAAATTGTACTCGAAGTGTCTTATCTCCACCAGGCCTTCAGCAAAAGACTCTTGTGCAGTTTGCATTTTCCAGTGTATCAAGGCCTTCTTCATATGCCAGCTAATCAAATGTTGATTATTAACAGCAGCCTGCCATTTAACAAATCGATGGCGTCTACAAAACTCTTATTTTGAGAGAGAGGAAGGGAGAGAGAAAGAGAGGGAGAGAAACATAGGGAAACATTGATTGGTTGCCTCTCATACAAGCCCTGACCAGAGACCCAACCTGAAACCCAGGCATGTGCCCTGACGAGGAATTGAACCAGTGACCTTTTGCTTTGTGGGACAATGGCCAACGGAGCCATGCTGGTCAGGGATTTATAAAACTTTCATAACTTTGGGTCTCTCTTCCATAATTTTGAGCCCATGTAGGGCCCAGTACCAGAAGGTCATTTCAGCAAGCATTTGCTGCTAAAGGCAAGGCTGTGCTTCAGTAAAGCAGATGCCCAGGGAGTTCAAAGTACACAGTCTCAGAGTGTATGGAGCTTACAGCACAGCTCTCCACTCTCTGTGCTCCCCAGTTTATGTTGTAGAATTGGACTGGTATCCTGATGCCCCTGGAGAAACAGTGGTCCTCACCTGCGATACCCCTGAAGAAGATGGCATCACATGGAGCTCGGACCAGAGCAGTGATGTCTTAGGCTCCGGCAAAAACTTGACCATCCAAGTCAAAGAGTTTGGAAATGCTGGCCAGTATACCTGTCACAAGGGAGGCGAGGTTCTCCGCCATTCTCTCCTTCTGCTTCACAAAAGCGAAGATGGAATTTGGTCCACTGATATTTTAAAAGATCAGAAAGGTAATTCCATTCCCTTGGACAGTATCAGTTTTTTCTTTTTCTCCATAAGAAATATAAAAATTAAAAATCTTAAAGATAAGACACTATCAGTATAGCTAGTGAAGTAAGTAATCAAGTTCCTTACTGAAACCACTTAAAACCTACAACTTCCTTTGCTTTGGTTTTCCTCTGCTAGACACCTTGAGTTATCAGCCATCAAAATCTCATGTTGAGAGAGTTTCATGGTGAGTCTGGATGCTTTTACTGAGGTTTCTTTAAGTCACAGTGATATCACTGAGAGAGTAATGAAAGTTAGTTAACCAACATACACAGTGTATAATTCAGTACTGGGTTGACAGCCTTGAAAAAAACTAATACCCCCTTCGGTATGTTAGATGTATAGTATGCCCTGCAGAGTCAACTACCTATTGAGACTCTCCCAGTCCTCGCTGAACTGCCTGCCAGAGAGCAGCATCCTTTTCCATGGACTTTAGTGGAAGATCTTCCCTTTTGCAGTATTTGGTGGCCTGTGTTAATCATAATCAAAATCTTTCTTTAAAAAACCTCCAAATGTTGAATTGTTGTTCTTTTTGATTCCAGAGCCCAAAAATAAGACCTTTCTAAAATGTGAAGCAAAGAATTATTCTGGACATTTCACCTGCTGGTGGCTGACAGCGATCAGTACTGATCTGAAATTCAGTGTGAAAAGCAGCAGGGGGTAAGTGAAACCACTCTGGTTTCTTGGTGTTTTGCTAGAACTACTATTTCATTAAGAAAATAAAGGTGACCTAGCAATGGCCTTTCAGTTAATGCTAAGGGAGAAAACAAAGTCAAATCCATATTTTTTCAATGCCCACCCCCCTGCCTAAGGTGGGGACAGGACATGGAAATCTAAGCTGACTGCCTGAACAAATGTGTGCATTAGAACATGGACACAGCCTCAGCTGTGTTTGAACCCACTCATCCAAACTGCCTGGCAATGCTTCATTAGGGCTTATAGCACCTTGGGGAGGGATGAAAGGATAAATTGAAGCTATAAATGACTTTTGCCAAAACTGCACCTTGAATCAAAAATAGAAACAAAAGGTCTAGGGCACGGATGCACTGAAAGCCCTGAGGCCTCAAGGAATTTTCCCAGGGCCTCTGCAACAACTTCTTCTGCGAACACCACTCACCTCAAGTTCACTGTTTGCCCAGAACACTTGGACTGTCCCTGGGAAATCGAGTCCCATACTACAGAACCTATGTTAGCCCCTCTAACATGTGACCTTACTCATCATCTAAGTTCCCAAACAATGTAGGAGATGGAGTGAACCTGGGTGATCATCCTGGCATGGCCTCTATTCACCTGAGGAACCTCTGGGGTCTCACTACTCTATCTCTAGAATGAAAATGCTTACTAAAGAAATGCTTATTATACAAGTGCACAAAGACATAGAGGCAAACATTCACTGGGATGCTTCTGGCAATCAGCAGGGGAAAGGTCAAATACAGTGTGGTCTATTGCACTCTGCAGCTTAATGTGCTATCTTCAAAATAACTCAAGTGCCTATGGTCTGTCATGGAGCACTCCCCATAATGCCTTCAGACATGGAAAAAATAGTTACAAAAACATATATATATGTATATATATATATGTATAATTTTATCCTTTTATTTCATAAAAATAAAATCTGTTTATATAGACAAAAATGTGTACATATGCATAAAAATGTGAACATATAATTGCTTTGAATATTCACAGAAAAGTTCTGTTGGAATAGAAGATGTATTTATATTCAATCCCCGTTTTAACCCTAATCCCACTCCCCAATTATAAATATCACTTTTATATATTATATATGTATACAAAAACATAATATAAATACTATATTTATTTTATAACAATATATAGCATATATTTACATATAAATATATATAATACATATTTGCATATATGAATAATGTTTATATCTGGGGAATGAGAGTAGAGTAAAAAGGGGGACTGGGATTAAAAGAGGCACACAGGTTTCCTTTATATACATCTCTTTAATTTTTTAAAATTAGCATGTATGGTTTTGTAATTAAAATGGGAGAATGAAATAAAAATTTTAATCAGGAGATGTAACCAGAGGCTCCGGATCCCAAATCTCCCAGATTCATTTTGGCCAGCAGCATCTAAGTGCAGGGTTGTTTCTAGACATTTGCACTACCCCTGAAACACTTGTTCTCAGGGTGCAGGAGGGCAGGTTCTTACTGCCTGGGAGGAAATCAAATGAATCAGAGAAACTGTGACCTCAGACCATTACAACCGCTAGGAACTCGCCCACAACATATGACACAGGATATGTCTGTCTGTGATTTCAGTTCCTCTGACCCCCGAGGAGTGACCTGTGGAGCGGCAACACTCTCGGCAGAGAAGGTCAGAGTGGACCACAGGGAGTATAGGAAGTACACGGTGGAGTGCCAGGAGGGCAGTGCCTGCCCAGCTGCCGAGGAGAGGCTGCCCATCGAAGTCGTGGTGGATGCTGTTCACAAGCTCAAGTATGAAAACTATACCAGCAGCTTCTTCATCAGGGACATCAGTGAGTTTGCTTGAGTCTATGTGCTTCATAAAGAGAGATGACATTTGCCACATGTTCGCAATGCCCCGTGCACTGGGTTAAGGGGTTGCACACATTACCCGTTTTATTCAGCAACCCTCTCCCAAAGTACAATGTAGATACTGTCATCTGCATTTCAAGGAAGAGGAAACTAAGTCTCAAAAAAAGTTAAACAACTTGTCCCAGATCTCACTGCTAGCAACTTAGACCCAGATCTGACCCTCAGGAAAAAGCAGGCTCTTGGCTAAATGTCTGTTCTGCTGCCCAGACAGCTTCCGTGGTGATTCCAAAGCAGCCTCTTCAGCATGACATTCCTATGCAGAACCATTCCTATGCTTCCCTACCAACTTCAATGACTCCAAGCCCATCTTTCGCTAGCATTTGAAAAGAGAATAAAACCCCCTCAAAAATGGACATCATTATTTTTAAATTGGCAGATGGAGACTTTTCATTTCCTTTACCATTTATCCATTGAAATACAGAGTGAGAGAACCACAGAACTTGCTCTAGTGTTTGTGGAGAGACTGCCCTTGATGGGTTGGAGGAAGAGCACTAACTGGGAAATCTCTTACCTAATCTGCAGCAAGAGGCTCAGCTTGGTTCCAAGTCTGGTGCAAAGAGGGGGACTGAACAGAAAGGGTAGGGTGGTCCTTCCCCAATGGCTCAGATATGAGAGTCCTGTCTCTAAGAACTTCCTTCTGAGCACTATGGTGACTGGGTCCACAGCCAGGGTCCACCTGATTATGCAGAGAGGAGGATTCTAAACCTCTCTCAGGTTCAGCCCTGAAGGATGCAGCTGCCTTCCACAGGCACTGGCATGAGCACCAGCCACAGAAGAGCCTCATGTCTGCCAGCCACATGCTCAGAGAAGTTCAATACCTATCTTATGCCCTCACAGCTGGTCATAGGTGCAAGTGGTCCAGAACTCCTTCTCCAAAGTCCTTCTAGAAAAATAATGGGTGTTTTTATCTTCTCCCACAGTCAAACCAGATCCACCCAAGAACCTGCAGGTGAAGCCATTAAAGAATTCCCGACAGGTGGAGGTCAGCTGGGAGTACCCTGACACCTGGAGCACCCCACATTCCTACTTCTCCCTGACATTTTCTCTTCAGGTTCAGGGCAAGAACAAGAGAGAAAAGGTAAGATGTGATTCAGGTGCCACGTATTCTGTGGTCAGGTTTGTGCAGACCCAGCCGGGGAGGAGATGAACGGTGATAACAGCTAGTGTTTATCTAGTACCGTCTCTGTGCCTGAAACTATGTTAAGGGTTTTACACGTTTATCTCAACTAGTCCTCACAGAACTCTACAAAGACATGCAGTATTATTATCACAACTTCACTAATGACGCCAGGAAAGCTCAGAGAGGTTAAGTAACTAGCCCAAGGTCACACAGCTAGGCCATGACAGAACCAGAACACAAACTCAGACTGCCAGACACAAAGGCCATACACCTCCTGTATGGTTGGTTGATCATTGATTCTCGTACTCAGAACTGGCCCTGATGTAGAAGAGCTGGACTTTAGGGACCGAAAATTATTATTTTGACTGAGTAAATATAATGGATGATAGAAGATTTAGGCTATGTCTTGCCCAAAATGTATAATTCTTGGCTGTTCTTCATATTGTGAAGTTATTCTATTACACAGAATGTTGGTATTTATGTAGGCTAGGATGATGACTTTACAGTTTTCTTGCCTTGGCATCAATAATCCCAAGGCCCCAGGGGCACTTTCATTGAGTTTTAGCCTCCTCAGACTCCAGTTTTAAAATCATTGGATAAAGTTCTTATTTAGTATAGCATTTGGCATCTGGTAGAAACTCAGTGGTTCAGTTACTGTCTGAGAATTTTCTTGTAGGAACAAAGGTTATTCTGTAGTTAATTTCACATAAATATTATTTAAAATCTTGATATCTTCCCTTCTTAAAATCTGTATCATTAGCCCTGGCTGGCGTAGCTCAGTGGATTGAGCACGGGCCTGCGAACCAGAGTATCGCGGTTCGATTCCCAGTCAAGGCACATGCCTGGGTTGCAGGCCAGATCCCGGCAGGGGAGGCAGGGGACACATGAGAGGCAACCATACATTGATATTTCTCTCCCACTCTTTATCCTTCCCTTCCCCTCTCTCTCGAAAAAAAATTTTTTTTAAATCTGTATCATTAATAGGTAATATTTACTGAGTGCTTTCTATACAGTTAGAGATTTTTGAGCGCTTTCTATATGGTTAGAGATTTTTGCTATGAGTTTTAACATGATTATTTTAACTTTTAAAACTCTGGAAGGTAGGCATTATTACTATCCCTCTTTTATAAGTGAGGAATCTGAGACACAGAGAGCCTAAGACATATTCTTATGGGCACACAGTAAGGAGCAACACCTGGATTTGAACACGTTTGTCTGAATGTGGTATTTCTGAATATCCACAGGACAATTAGTGCAAATCTGCCCCAGTTCCACCATCAATCTTGTACAAGAGTAAGGGCACAAGGGCCCTTCATACAAGGTGAAAGCTGGACCAATTTCATCCTCACGGCCTGCAAAATACCTGTAGATAGAAAAATTGAATATGTTTAGAGTTTCTGTCAGTAGATGGCGCGAGTTCTACGTACTCCCCTGCAGTCCTGCAACCCGGTGTGCTTGTTTTGGGAGATGGTGCTTTGCAGAAATGTGCCCAGCCTGCCTTGTGACTGTGTTACCAAATATTTCTTGCTCCTTTGCAGAAAGATAGACCCTTCGTAGACAAAACCTCAGCTCACATCACATGCCACAAGGATGCCGTGATCCGAGTGCAAGCCCGAGACCGCTACTATAACTCACCCTGGAGCGAATGGGCATCTGTGTCCTGCAGTTAGGTGAGGAGGCCCAGCCCAGACCTGCATACTCAGTGTCCCCAGGTTCAGGGAAATAGTGCGGGAGGACGGTGCAGGAGAGGAAAGAGGGAATGCCTGGCACAGGTGCCAGAGTCAGAAACATAAGTTTGTTCATTAACAGATACTTATTTGATGATCATATTGTTCCAGGCACTATGCTGGGCTCAGGGATACTGCAGTAAACAGAAAGACATTAAGTCCTGCCTTTCTAGAAGGAAATGCAAAGATGAGAGAGTCAGCCAAGAGTCAGAGCAAGGAGGATTGCAAGCTGTTTCCAGAAATTAGAACCTCATCCAAGGGGAGATGTGGGGGGGGCCACTGAAAGACTTTCAACAAGGAAACGACATGATCAGACATTCTTTTAAGAAAATTTTCAAGAGAGTCTCTAGTGAGCAAGGCACCAGCCAAATCCCAGGCCACATAAGGAAGGGTTGGACCTTTCTGACATGGAATCCCCATGGCTCAATTGCCCAGATAATGTGTCATGTGAAATATGAAGGGCCTGCTTCTACCTTTCTAATCCTCATAAACTTGGGGCATTCTTTTTCAGATTCTGCTCCCAGGATGAAAACTTGGAGGAAAAAAGGAAGACATGCAAAATTTCTTAAAGACACAATGCAACAGACCCAAAGAGATATTTTCTACCTAATTTGCTTTTTTTTTAAGGGTCATAATATATTTGTTGTATTTTTTATATTTAAATGCTGTCTCCTGAAACAATCAGATAATTTATTTATAGAGTTTCCAGCTAGCACATTGCAACTATTATTTAAATATTTATGTATTTATTAATTTATTATGGTTATTTAACATTTTTGCACCAAGATCTGTGTGTTTCACCCTCTTATGACCTGATCCATATGGAATGGGTCCTATTATGTATGCAAAATGTGAATTTATGTGTCATTTATACTGACAACTTCTCAGTTGAGGCTGCAAGTGCCTCAGTTTTAGGACAACCAGTAAGAACACAATGTTCTGATGCCAGTGCCATAGTGTATTTGTGATGGATGGGAACACAAGAGATAATCAAACAGAGAAGGGAGACAGGTGCCCACTGGAGGAGGTTGTGGAAAGATGTTTGTTCTCATATCCATGAAGATTTACTTGAAGTGGTGTTGACAATTCAGGGCCACCTGCACTTCTAAGCAGGTTTAGTCTTTGGATGCCTGAATTTAGAAAGGGTTAAAATTTTTTTTAAAAAGGTAAAATTCAGCTTCAGCGTCGGCAGCAATCCCCACCCCATCTGTCTGTGAGACGTGGAAGAGTGACGCAGGGACATCACAAGCGTCTGGAAGGTAAAAAGATGTTATGATTCAAGAGGAAGAATAAGTGTAGTTATGGCTAAGGTCATAAAATTGTCAGAAGTGCCCGTTATTCCTGAATACCCATACAAGAAAAGCAGACAGATGCAAAGAAATGATCAAGAATCACTCTTACAGGTCAGCGTGAGTGAACCTGACAAGCAGATATGACCAAAAGTGCTGAACCACTTAAGTAATGGTGCTACTTTTAAGTAATGAATGTGCTTTCTGTAAAGTGATTCCATTTGTTTTTATTTTTATATTCCAACTGTGAACTAATAAAAATGTAATTTTCCTTTGGCATAATATTTTGGGCTTTCTCAGCTGACTCGGGTATCCTGTCCCAACATTTACCAGGGCTGCAAATTTTTCTCCTACCAATGAAGAACTGCCCCTCCTTGTAGCAATTCCATTTGCATTTTTGCAGAGTTGCCCTTTCCCTTTATAGGATTCCCAGAGTCAGTGTCTTGCTGAGCTCAGGGACCGTTCCTGCGACCTGACTGTGGGGAACTCTACAAGGACACTGAATTGTGTCATGCCCTTTTTAGGGACTGGATCCTCTTGCTTTTACTTTCTTCATCTCTTATCCTGGAACCACTCTCCAAGTTTCCCAAGCATCACGAAGTAAAACATCAACCTGGTAAAGTCATGAGCCCCCCATCTCATAGGTCCCACTCATGCCTACCCCTGGCACAGCTTATAAGACAGAGCTGAAAAGTTAACTTCTATACCAGTACATGCTAAAATATTTTGTATATATGGTACCCTGGGGGGAGAACAAAGGAGAAGGATCAGTCTGACCTGGAATCACCCGGGAAGGCTCCACAGAGAAGGGTCAGTGGGCAGGGGCTGCCTATTCCCTTCTGGTGCCTCCCACGGAAAGAGCAAGTGGTAGGATCAGCAAGAGTGGAGTCCGTTGTCTGCTATCTCCAAAAGCCAGGTGTGCACATCTGGGCATCCTTGCAATGCCAAAGTAGTCATTATAGGGATGTCTGTTTACATTCCTTATTGTAAGTGTCCCCTGAAACCCTTACTATATTCTCTTCCCAGCCTACAGGATGGTGGGAAGTTACTGTCATCGTACTTAATCCAACAGTGAAAACATGTCATGTTGTGTTATAAGCCCATACTTGATAGCACGTGGTTAGTTAATAACCATTTGTCTCCTACTGGGTCTTTCACTAAGAGATATCAAAACACATTATTGGGGATTGAATGAACAATGCTAATCAAGAAGAAAATGGTAATTAATCACATTTCATGAGCACTGGGACCTGGGGACCTTTCCCAAAACTGCCGACCAGCCTGAGGCAGAGCTCAGATGTTCTGGCCCCTGCCAAGCCCAGTGCTTTGCTGACCTGCCTTCTTAGCATTGTGGTTAATTTCGGTATGCGCAATGGAGAGTTTTTCTCTTAGATTTTCTCCGGGATGGTCTTTTTTCATTGGGAATCTAGCCACCACAAAATGTATCAAATGTCCTGGCAAAAGAGCTTAGAACTGGAAACCAGGAGACTGAGCTATGAGCCTGGCCAGCCCTGCTATGTGACCCTATGACCTTCAGCAGGACTCTGGACATACCTTACTGGCTGTCTGATCCATACCCACCCCCAACTTCTTCTGCCCTAATGCCTCTCCTCAGTTCTAAGGTTGGGAAGCTAAGAATCACTTTTTCCAGCCACCACTGCTACCCAGCAAGGCCACAAGACCCAGTTCTGGCCATTGAGATGTAAGAAAATTCTGCTGGGGGTTTCCAGGTAAAAGACACAGTCATGGATAACATCACCTTTTCCTTCCTCTTTCTCCCTTGAGCAGATAAAATTAAGGACTCAGAGAATACTTTGTACCCAGGATGAACACCTTCATGCTAAGACTGTAAAGACAGAAAGTCTTGGGGACTCTAGTGACATCAAGGAGCTAAACCAATCCCTGTAACTACCGACCCCAGACTTGTTATATTAGATAGACCCATATTTGTGCTTTTTTAATAATTGCAGTAAATATCCATAACATACAAGTTACCATTTTAACCGTATGTAGGTGTAGAGTTCAGTGGCATTCACGACATTCCTACTGTTGGGCAACCATCGCTACTACCCCAAACAGACTCTGCACACATTAAATAATAACTCTCCCCCAATGTTTGTTTTTAAGGTAGATAATAAGCCAAAAATCAAACAAACACATTCTCCTAAACAACCAGATCCCCATTTATAAGAGGCTGCTGGCTGAGTCAGAAAAAGGAGGCAGGCCTGCCCAGGAACAAACTGGCATCGGGACACCTGGCTCTGCCCCATATCGCTGGCATGACCGTGGAGAAGCCCTGGACTACTCAAATTCCAGTGATGCCAGGTGGGGTCCTGGTGATAGCCTCACTTGCTGGTAGACAGAACAATGGCCAGAAAGCCTGTTCCAAGAGCAGTCTGAGCATCAGCAGGACTCACTGGTTGGAAAGCGGGGCCAGGCAAGCAGCTCCCAAAGTCACCACCTCTGTGCCTTCATTAATAACAAACATTTCTTAATGTACTACTCTGTCCCTAGCACCATCCTCATCTTTCTGGATAGAGAGGTGAACAAGACCTTGCCCTCACATGGATTTTAGTATTCAAAGAACAAAGTGCTTGAAATTCTAAGCCCTGGAGGTCTTCTCAAGGGTTAAGGGCATGATGAAATTAGATTGTGGGTTAAATGTGATTGTCACAGCACCTGGTCCACGGTGAACACACAGTAAACAATAGCTATTTCCACTGATTTGCTCTGTGACCTTGAGCAGTTACTTAAGCACCTGGTCAAGCTTCAGTGAGTCCATCTGTAAGATGGTATAATAACAGTGCCTATCTCACAAGGGTAGTTGTGAGATTAAATGGAATAACACTTAGAAAATGCTTAGAAAAATACCTGACCCATAGTTAAGTACTATGTACTCAATCAAGGCTTATTGTTAATATTCATATATTACTTATAACTGGAAAGAAGTATAATTCTGGACACTGTACTTTTAGGGGGTGGGGAAATAAAGGGGTCACTGTTAGCAGGTCCTAATATCGCTAAGGACTGGGTTGAGAGGGGGAGGAAAGGGGTGGCTCGGTCAGTTAAGATTTAAAAGCCTTTTCAGTGTAGAACCCCTTTCTTATGAATAAAATGCAAAAACATCCCCATGCACAGAAATACCAAGATGCAATGAACGCAGTGCGTGCCCTCAGGGATGTACAGCCTGGTGAGAGAGAGAAGGGATGCAAATGTGATGAATAGACTGAAGTATAGCCTGGCTGGGATAAGGGTGTGTGCACCCTGAATATTTCTTTTAACAAAGATTTCCAGCTCCCAGGAAGACCTCTTTCGTTTCCTTTTACCTTCCTGGGTACAATAATTTGGCATGAACCTACCAATTCACCTTGCCTATAAATCATACTTTAATTATCTCTATTTTATTTCAGTATGGCCCCTCTTCCAGGACAGAATGTGTGAGCAAAATCTATTTGGACAAGACTTTCTCCAGAGGGTCATATTATACCAAGGAAATGAATTCCCTATCTCCAGCTCATAAAATGCAAAAATAAAATCAGCATTCTAGCTGACTGGCGCGGGAACCAGGTGCTCACACTGACATTCCTCCCTCTGCAGGAAATGCACTTGGGGAGCTGATTTGCATTTACCTTCACGCAGGCCTGGGTTCCAGAGGCACAGGGTGTCCTGCCAGCCCACCACCACGGGCCCTCATGGACAGCCTCCCCCCACTCCCCTCCCCCCACCTATGTGGATGTCAGTGTGTGATGGGCTAGAAGACAATGCAGCTGCTTGCTAATCTCCCTGTCTCCTTCCAGTAAGGAACACAAACTGTCTCTCCCCTGCCCTTCTCTCAGCCCACGTGGCATCTCAGCCCTGGCTGCCTGCAAAAGGACCATTGCTAACCTGAGTGCAGGGGGATTCCAGGAAACCAACTGAGCATTCTGCCAGTGGCTCTGAGGTCTGGAAGACAGGGAAAGTCAGGGGAAAAATTTTAAACAAACCAGTGTCCAGTCAGCTTCCTGCTCCCCACACACACCACCCATACACGTGGCCTGGAGCTCAAATGGCAGCAAGCAATGCCTGGGAGTAGTCCAGAGCACAGGGATGCACCAGGCCCTGGAGCAAGACCTGCACTCCAAGCCTACTCCCCACTTACCAGCTATAGGCTGTTAGGTAATTCCTTAATATCTTTGTGCCTCAGTTTTCTCGCTTCTAAAACAAGTAAGCTAGCAGTGCCACTACCTCCCAGGAGGATGCTGGGAGGGTTTAAGGAGACCAGGCTCACAGTACAGCACCCAGCCCCTTGCCAGTACACTGC